CGACTATGTGAAAATATTTATCATATTATCCGCATAATTCACGAACTGCAAAATCGATTGCTTTTTCACGGAACAAACTTGATACGCAAGATGTGCATTTTTTTTAGAAATCATATGGGTCGTCACTTCAGTTTATACATTTTGGGCAAGAGAAATATTTATTTTGCAGAAAAAAAAGTTATCTCTAAACTCAATGTCTGCACAATTTATCTACATTTTTTTCTTTGTTCGCCTCATTTTTTTTTTTTTTGTTGAACATATTTGGATTTTATTGTTATTGTCTCCAAAATTACATTTGAATGGCTAGCAACGACATTAGAGTATGTGTGCACTATGGTGGTTCATTTTTCAGGTGTTCATATCTTGGTGGTGTAGCAGACCTGATGAAAATAAATATGGCAAGAAATGTATTCTAAAGAAGTTTATCGTGCTCAATAATTATTAAAGGCTAATCCTTGTAATTTTTAATACATGTTGTGCACAATATTTAATGGAAGAGATTGAGTTGTGAAGATGGAAATCGAATTCAATGACGATCATCGACGGATCCACATATGGCCTGGGCTGGGCCAGAAATTTATGGATTTTTGAGAAGAAATGGTACTCGGAGAGATGGATTGTTCAAGCTGCCATGAAAGATTGGTTGGACTTCAAGGAAAGCAACAAGAAGACATAACAGGATTGCGGAGGGATAGACTAGGTCTAGTGTCAGTGGTGTATTTTTCCGTATTTGTTTGTTATGTTTGTGTCCTTGTATTGGGATATGTAGTATGGATGTATTAGCTGTAGTAGGCTTGCTTTGGTCATTCAGTTGTGGTTTGATCTCGTCTAGGCAGCCATTTTGGCTTGTCCTCCCAGTGACCCAGGATTCGGGGATTCCCCTTGTACTGCTATTGTTTTAGTTATGAATGGAGAAATTTTATCGTTGGAAAAAAAAAAAAAATAATCCACCAAAATTATTCACTTATCTATTAAGTGTAAAGACTACTAACACCACTCTAATAAAATATTATATAATGTTAATTCACCCTTTCTACTATGCACTAACCCACAAAACATCACTCCACCAAACTCCAATCAAATAAATTAGCCACGGCCATGTCCTCCTCTGAACACCATAACACTGAATTTAGAAGGGAAAAAAACTGTTCAATAGGAAATAGTTACTTTCATGAAGATGATTTAATTTCTTCTTTAATAACAAGTTATATTTTTCCTATTACATATTTATTTTATTTGTCTAATTGTCTTTGTCTATCTTCTCATTTTAGTTGAGTTATTTAGAATTTTAATAGTTATAGCTAGGATCTTGGTTGTAATTCTTGTTTTGTTGATTGTGTATGGAGTAGTAATTGTGTGTGTGTGTGTGTTTAATCTCTTATCCTCTATGTGGTTATTGTATATCATAGATGGATATAAATTTATGATGTGTAGGCATTTCATTTTGCTAATAATTATGTCATATGAAAAATCTATTTATTTGCATTGTGGAATTTTTAAAAATTCACATGGAGCACCAACATTTGGCCAAGAAAGGAAAAACCTCATTGATATCATCATTCTTTAGAAAACGGGATCGATGTCAAACTAGTGAAAGCACATCAAATACGGTGCAAAATGAGCATAATGATTTTTTTTTTCTTTTTTTTTTTTTAGAAACTCATCGAGCACAATTTCAGTGAATATTTGANTATGTTGTAGTTCTGAATTTCCCATCAAGGCCTCATGTTCATATCAATCCGACGACTATTTCATCGATCAGGCCCTAGTTCATTTCTACAGACCCAATATCCTCGGAGGCACTGATGATCACGTGATTCATTTAACCAATCAGGTAATTCTCGTGATGTCAATGATGTTGATGACAAACAAGCTATAATGATGACCAAACCTACAAGCGCAATGATGATTCAGGCTGCAATGGACCCATTCTCAGCAAGAGGTTAATGAGAAAAAAATGTTGATACTTTTCAGAGTGTTGTATTGTGATCGTATTAAATAGCTTGGATTACTTATCAACCATATTGAAGTAGAAATCTTTGCATCCATGTAGGACATGACGAGCTGACGCTGAGTCACGAATGTGGTCCCTTCATATTTCGCCCATTACAACTTGATCAGATCGACATCCCATCTACTTAACCTAGAACAATGTAGAATTATCTTTTAGTTGTCTTTATTTCATTAGATGAGTTGGTTTGTCCCATCTACCTTTATCACGTATTGCAATAAGTTAAGTATCGAACACCCAAATTATGCACTTCTAGGTTACTATCTATTTACGGTATGAAGGGCTTTCTTACAAGTTATGTGTAAGGGACAAACGTATTGAGAATCACTAGTTTGAAACTCGAGCTTTCATACGAAAGGCGTTTGATGCAAAATCAACACCGTTCGGCTTAGTTTAAGGTTCTCACTCATATCTACGTACCAACTATTGAACGTTTCACGTACGTGTCTTTGATGTCATCCGTCTGGTTTTCGTGGAATCGGGTTTTTGTGATACGGACGCGGGCATCACAGTGTCCTACGGCGGTGGAAATCTGACACAATTTTTCGGGTGAGATGGTGCCATAGTAACAAAGAGATAGAGAACGTTGTGGTTGTGTTCGGCGGAGGTTAGGGATGTCGAGGGGTGAGTCGGCTGCGGATGCGGCGACGAGTGTTGCGGTTCACTGGTGGTTCGGCGGTTGCCGGTGGCGGGTGGCGGGTGACGGGTGGCGGGTGGCGAGTGGCAGCAGACGACACTGACGACGGTCAGAGATGTCTCCAGTGACAGAATGTGTGTGTGTGCGCGCGCGCGCGCAGAGGATGTGTGTGTGCGTCTGTGTGAACGGTGTGTGTGAGTATGTGAGAGAAAATACAATTAGGTTAGTTAGAGTGGGGTCCACCATGTAATTAAGATTTATTGTACAATGACTAAAATACCCTTAATTAATGGTTTGATAGTTTCTGCGATTCCATGGATTATACCTATTTTCACAAATCGAAGAAATTGGATGTCCAACCCGGTCTACCCAAACGTCTTCAACTCATCAACGCATAAGGGTAGTCCTTAAACATGGATATATTTAACCTTCATATGACCACTTAATTACGAAATTGCCATAGCATGTTTGACTGACATTAATAAATTTTGACTTAATCATGACCGTTGGTTTAATGGATATAGTGATCCAGAATCATGCTTATTTCTTTCATTATCTAGCATTCTCATATGATCACCTCTCTCTCTCTCTCTCTCTCTCTCTCTATATATATATATATATATATATATATATATATATAATCTCGCAATTTTTTAGATTTGTTGTTGGTTACCTTATCGTTCAAATTTATTAACCAATTCTCTAAAATTATATTGCAAATTTAAAATTTTATTAAATATTATTCAAAGATCTTTCTGATTTTTAATAGTATAATCACACCAATGCCGAATTATCATCAATATCTTATGGTAAACTATTATGGGTATATGCGAATCATATCACCTTTATTTTATAACAAATCAACCTTAATTTTAAATTTATTTAAATATTTTAAATTGATTACATAATAAATAATACTAACGTGCATTAAATATTTTTTATGACATAAAATAAAGTGAAAAAGAAGACGTACTACTTCTATAACTTTTATAAATAATAATGTCATTATATGACAATAAAAATTATAATAAAATAATAATTATGTATTATATTGTGAACAATCAATATATATGTATATATATATATATATATATAATTGTTGGAAAACTTCATTTAATTTTATTCGGCTTTCAATTAATAATAATATGAGTTCATTTAATAAAAATAAGTTGCATTTAATAAAAATTTCTATGACCTCCATAAAAAAACCGTTACAATATTTTTTTCTTTTAATTTATTCCATACAATCACCCACTTATTTTTTTTACTATATTTTAAATTTGTAACGGTTGGATGCGATTACCATTTTTTATTTCTCTATATTTGGAGAATGTAACTGTTGCTTGGTTACGAGATAATATTTAAACTCTTAAATTTGAATGGTTAAAAATCTTTTGTTAATTTATATGTTGACTATTTACATACAAAAGTATTAAGTATTGATATGTTATAGATACAACACAAATATATATAAGAAAAGTCATCTTTTGTAATAGAAATCTTTACACCGGCTCATTCAAATTTAAATTTTTCATGCAAGACTGTACACTTAATGAAAAATAATTATCCATTTTATTTTATATAATAAATATATTGATGAATTTAGATACTTTTATGATGTTTATTTTTGTTAACGACAAAATTTTTAAAATATGATACTATTATTTAACTTATAATTTTATAACTATACACATGCACGTAACTTATAAGTTATAATAATTTAAATTTTTGTGCATGTGCACAAGATCAAATACTAGTAATAAGTAAAACTGCTATTTTCTCTTATATCAAGGAATAAATATATATACTAAAATCAAATTTATATTAGTATAAATTTGTTGGTACGATAATATATTAATTATTTTATTGGCTAGCCCTAACATGTTCATATTAATGTTTTGGCTAAAGGAAATTAAAAGAGGTGAAAAATATAGTATAATCCTATTGTTTTTTAGACTTAACGCGGATTAAAAGAGGTGGAAAATAGATGATAATCCTATTATTTTTTAGACATAAACGACTGTGAAAATAACTTATTGAATATCGTTGTCCTGTGCATCGCATGGGTACGTATTTAGTATTAGTATAGATTGAAGAAAAGAAATAAGAAAAGTAGGAAATAATATAACTATTTAACTCATAATTGAAGAAAAGAATTCAAAATTTAGTAATTTATTTTGCCAAAAAGTAAAATATCCGAAAGCAACCCCTTTTGAATACNACAAAACAAAACAAAACAAAACAAAATCTTTTGAATACTATGCAGTTTGAGTCTCACCCACATCATTTCCCTAATATACCCTGGAAACCAAAGCACACCAATCTCCATCTCCATTCTCTGTCGCTCACAAAATGGAAGCAAAACAGATTGTTTTCTTCTTCCTCCTCTTCACCGTTGTCATCTCTGTCTCATCAGATCCCCCGCAATACCAGACCTTCTTCCCCACCTCACTCCCCCAAGTAAGCCATGATTTAGAAACCCTCTCCTGGGACATTCCCAAACAATTCTCTGATTCCCATTCCGAATCCGAAACCCCACCAATCGTGGTCCGCCTGCACCACGCTGACCACCTCTCCCCATCCTCCAACTCCACCCCTGAGTCCCTCTTCTTGAATCGCCTCCAACGCGATGCCGTCCGTGCCAGGACCATTGCCTGCCGAAAACCCCAAAACTTTAGAAGCTTCATAACCTCCGGCTTCTCAATAGGCAGCAGCGAGTACGTCACCCTCATCGGGGTCGGCACCCCGGCCACACAAGTCTACATGACCATCGACACTGGTAGTGACGTCACCTGGCTCCAGTGCCAGCCCTGCCCATATTGCTACCCCCAGCAAGGCCCCATCTTCAACCCCAAAAGCTCCACCTCCTTTGCAAGTGTCCACTGCAACTCCCCACTCTGCACCCTCATTGGCCCACTGGGATGTAGAAACCCCCGCGACAAGTGCCAGTACAGGCTCACGCACGGGGACGAATACACCACCTCGGGCGAGTTATCCACCGAAACTCTGACCTTCGGAGCCACCAAATTGCCGCAACTCCCCATCGGCTGCGGCCATAACAACGAGGGCTCGTTTGCCGGGGCCGGCGGTCTGCTTGGCCTCGGCCAGGGGAAACTTTCCTTCCCGGCCCAGGCCCGCATAAACAAGTTGTCCTACTGCCTCGTGGAACCGGGGTCCAAGTCGGGGTCGTATTTGATCTTTGGCGAGTCGCCGGTCTCCGGTAAAACGGTTTTCATCACGCCACTGCTCACCAATCCCGAAATCGACACATATTACTACGTCGAGTTGATAGGGATCTCGGTGGGCGGGACCCGGGTGCGGGGAATCGGTCCGTCCGTCTTCAAGTTAAACAGCAACGGCTCGGGGGGCGTGATTGTGGACTCGAGCACGTCTGTGACCCGGCTGGTCCAGCCCGCCTATAACGCGCTGAGGGATGCATTCAAGGCCCAGGCTTCTCACCTGAAGCCGGCCAAGGCCGACCGCTTCTCCACCTTCGACACGTGTTACGAAATACACACGGACGTGAACGTGCCAACAGTGGCGCTCAACTTCCGAGGCGCCGACGTGCCCCTGCAGCCGTCCAATATCCTGACTCCAGTGGACAACAAAGGCAGGTACTGCTTTGCGTTTGCGGAAGCGACGGACGGGCTGTCCATAATTGGTAATATTCAGCAAAAGGGCTTCCGAGTCAGTTTCGACCGGGCCAATCAACAAGTCGGCTTCGCACCCAATAGTTGTTGAGTGCTACTGCTACACAAAAGGGGTTGTTGAGTGGGAAACAGAAAAGAATTTTAATTAGCATCTGCATACAATTTCGTGTTATGGTACAAAAATACATATTTTCAAATGAATAAATATATTTGATTGGCGTTGNTCTTTTGAGACTGTGCATTTGGGAATGGTCATCCCCATCCTGTTGTTTTCTTTGTAATCTACCTTCCTTGTTCCCAGCCCTTTTCCAAGTTTTCAGTTTAGAGGTAGGCACTGCATAAGATTGAAGCTGAGAGTCATCATTTGAAAGGATTAGTGCTCTTTGAGTGTTGTGTGGTTGGACTTCTACTTCCCCTGTCTTCTTGTATGGGAGGTTTTAATCTCATTAAAGGTAATTTAGACATTATACAATACTCAAATAACCACACACCACACGTGACCCACCCCTCTCTCTCTCTCTCTCTCTCTCTCTCTCTCTCTTTCTCTCTCTCTCTCTCAATCAAACACACACAGCAAAACACAAATTTCACACACAAACACACACATATCAATACGCAGAACACCACAAGTCCACCGTCGCCATTGTTGCCCCGCCGGAAGCTCCACTTATTCCGCCGTGAAATTGTTGCACTGGCGGTCCCCGCCGCCGCGATTCTCTCACAGCTGCTGACGAAAATTACACAGCCTTCCGAAATTCTGGCCGCCGTGATTGGCTGTGAAGGACCTCGCGGCCACGTCCGTCAATACTCCCCCAATCATCTTCAATGACCGGCCACCAGACACCGCCCGCCGCCGTCGTCCTCCCTCCCTCTCCATTGGTGGCACGAATTCAGCTTGTTTGCTCGTCTATAATTCCGGCGAGATTCAGACGGATCTCAACTCATCCCGCAGCTCGTACACCCTCACCATTGTTTCCTACAACGATTGTGCGCGCATCGGAAGGGGCTGTTTTCTCACCGGTCAGAGCCTCGATTGGAAATTGACGGCGGGGTTCAGGAGTTCTGCTCACGATGGGAAAAATTCCATGAAGGGACGCCGAACGTGGCCGCGCGAGGTGTTCCGGCGATAGCTGGTGACTGTACGACGATTCAAGTCGCTGGCCGGCGATAAACATAAACCGATGAAGAGGGCTGAGGGGGTGGGTGACGGGAATTTGTCATTGAAAGATATTTTATTTTGGCATTAGTTCGATAGTTCGAACAAGCACCTGGAACCACAGAATAAAAAGGGAAGATCTTTACATATTATATTTCCTTAAGTAATATTGTTTTATATTCCGTATGTAAGTCCATGTAGATCTTATTACGGTTTTTATATGACAGGTAATTGCACGAGGAGAGATAAAGAAGAAGGAGAAAAGAGACATGCTTGGAGAGGAGATCAATGAGAGAGAATAAAAGATTTCCTTACCAAAGTTATCCTATTATCTTGGAAGGAAATCTTGAATGAAGTCCTATGCCTTGTAGAAGACTCCAACCCTAAAGGAGTTTATATATATACCCTAGAAGAAGCTTATGGCGGCCGTGGATTTTGATATTGAGAAATATTGGAGAGCCATTCAAGCTTCACTTGCTTTCGGTTCTATTTTTGATTGTATTCAGTTCAGTCTAAGAGTTCTTACAAACTCAAGGACTAGTACTGCTTTCATTTAGTTTTTTTTT